GCGGGGCTGCCGTAGCGTTGCGCTTAGAGGAAGCGTAATTTAGGTCACCGACCTTTCGCTTTATACTTAGAACCAGTACGAGCTAGCAAATCGCAGTCCGCTTACTCCAAGAGTAATTATTGCCTAACCCAAGGCTTATTACACTTCAGTTTAAAATGCCAAACTATTTATTTATTTTTATCTGCGGCAAAGCCGCCTTGTTTGAAATGTTTAGATTCTCCAAAATACGTATAGTAAAATCTCAATACATGCATAACTACTGGCTACCTAGCCACATACCGTTTTCTTGTTTGGGTGCGGTCACACCATGCCCATCTCGTGTGACAAACACACCGGTTACCAGGGTACGTGTAACCCCGTTACAATGGGTGACTTCAACGTGAGATGCACTCTTTTTTTTGATCAAGCCTCATCTACCCAGGCATGACAAAGAAGAACTGGATGATTGGCTTGACACTTTGGAATCAATCGACGCATAGCACTTTGGACATCCAAATACAAAATATTACACAAACCGAACACGCAAGTACCGCCTTGATTACTGTCTCTAAAAGCTGATCTGGTACAAAAGCATCTCGCTTCGTTAAAGATTACAAATAACAGTGACTTAACGAAGACCACATACCAGTGGGATGTCGGCTACAAGCAAAATTAATGCCTATAATTCGACGCCCGCCGTGGCGATGTTAGACAACGTGATCAAGACAATATTTCGTACATAATTTGTCGGCGACGCAACTGGATTTCGAAATCCTGATGGCGCTAATCGAGGGTGTCTTCTTGATGAACACAAACAAGCCCATTGCATTTATCGTCAAAGTCGGTGGATTGGGCTTTGACAAGCTGACAAGCGCTAATGGCTAAAGCTACTCGATGGAGCGAACGATGCCACCGAAGTCATCAGTCTGACTCCGATTGGCCGCAACAACTAGCAGCAGATGGCTTTCCAGCCGCTACACAGAAGACTTTCATAGGTCTCCCATCACCGAAGTACATAGTGGCGGTGGGTCGAAGACCGACGACCCTGTTGAAATTGAGGCGGCACACCGCTGATTTTGGGGGCAACCATTTTCGTCAATATCGCCTTTACTTGACGATGTATGCGATGTTTTGTATCAGCTTCATCGTTTATCCCGAATGCTACGTCAAACAGAGGCTCAGCTGACGCCTGACTAACAACGTCTGTTTGATGCACTCAACATGGCAAACGACTTGTACTGTGCGATCATGATGTTCGCCCTTGGCAATGCGCCGGGTCCCGACGGACCACCAATCAATTACTCAGATATTATGCCACGTCTTTGGGTCCGCATATACGAAGATATACATGACAACTAGTCATTGAAAGGAGATGTGACTAAGTTTTGGCGACGTGCACACCTTCTGCTGCCATACAAGACTGGATAAAGACCGCTGCCTGGAACTACTGTTTAACCATGATGCTAAGCTTGGCCATCACATTCTTTTGCGAAGTTTGGGGACTGTACTTCCTTCGAAATTACATGGAGTTGAAAGTGGGTTTGTACCTATCAGAATATAATGCCACTCTCTTGTTTGATTTAAAAACAGTGTTGGGACACTAACCCCAGCGCATGCGCAGTTCTTGTCGATCGAACCAGAGCGTTCGATAGTGTACAATGTCCAGCGTTAGACATGGTAATGCATCATGGCTCGACCTTTTTTGTGCCTGGATCAAAACATATTATAACCGAATTTGTGTTGATCTGCTGTTGAATAACTCACCAGACCCATATCTGCTCGAGGCCGGGGTACGACGGGACGACCCACTTTCGTAAAACTGTTTCTGTTGTAGATGGAACCACTTACGAATTACTTACGTGCCGGGGAATGGACATTAACTCTGGGCCATCCCCACATTTGCTTCTAGCGTTAATGAATAACTTCATCGGTCTTACTGGTTGATGTTCATCTCGCATCTAGATTCTTGGACGTGATAAAAGATTACACATAGGCACTGGGATTATAAAACATGAATAAACGTGTATCATGCCGTTTACGCATCAAGTCGACTTGTCCAAATTTGCCAGATTACGTTCTCTACCGGATCTCGCTGTGTTACAACCTTCGGAAACTGCGGCGCGACTATGGCATTCAAGCAACGTTTTGTAATGATATTAAACAACAAACAAGATGAGCCAGCTGGATATACCGTGCACGTGCATTGCAAGGCGATGTGGTACTCTTACAAAGCATCATCTTACCGCTGTTTTGTTATACAGCCAGTGTGACTTCTATCACACCAAACATTCTTAAACTGTGGAATTTGAAAATTTGGTTACTAAAAGGTAAGGGATAGTGATACCGCCGTTGCCATTAAAAATTGGCAAAAAAATGGTTTATACGTGCATTTTAAAGTGTTGCGCTAGGATTGACACCTGTCGAGGCCTTTATCCAGGTTATGCCCTCAAGACATTAAGGGATGGAACTGCAACAACCTGCAAATTGAGTGTATTTTCCCGATAATTATGCAGCGAGACTGCCGTAGCTTTTCGCTTAGAGGAAGCTAAGCTAAGGTCACTGGATTTACGTTCTTTGGAAGAGCCAGTACGAGTGTAGCGGATTGCAATCCGCTGCCTCCAAGAGTATTGAAATTTTAATTAAGGTAAGTGAACTCCTTCGTTCAAAATTGGAACTGAATTTGATTGTTTTAGTTGCGGCAGAGCCGCCATTTTCCTAATTAGTATAAAATTACCCAATTGACATAGTAAAACCTAATCAATATGCATTACTACTGCCATCCTGCCACGTGATTTACACTATACTTGAGCAAGTATTTGACCAGATCCCAAACCACTTGCTCAAGTTCTTTTTGGGTCAAATGCACGGCCACTTTACGATGACCCTGAGCTTTGCAGAATCTACCCGCACGTCATGATATCCAATGATATATCTCAGGATGGAAATTATGCTAACGCTAAGACGCACTATTCTAGCATTTGCAAATATTTTACTAAAGCACATAATCCCTTTCACTGTTTGCAAGTATATTATGCAGCTCTCTTTATCCGACTTTCCATACTCTGCACGACATGGACAGAATGATCATCAAAATATATTTGTTCTTAGACACAATGTGACCTGATCAGCAGTGTTGCGGGATGTTTGATCGGCGTTGTATAATGAGTCAAAACGTGCGGCATCGAATGCCACTCACCAACATCGCGCTCGCTGTACTCATCGCGATGGCAAACATATCATTGTTTATCATCTGCAGCTGAAAATACCCATCAACCAGGTCAAGTAGAGCGAGCAAAATTTAAACGACCTTGCCGTTCTGCAACACATCTCTACTAGGTATGGGCATTCGCATCAGAGTCTCTTATGTATTTTGCTTAGCACAAGGATGCAGCAATTCAATTAAACTCAAATCTCATTTTTGCCATTAGGCTTTTCGGCACATATAGTTGGCGCCGAGTGGTATATAAATTCAGTCTCTACAAGCCGACTTCGTGCTGCGCAAGAAAGATTGCATCTACAATGCTACGATGTCCTTGGTCTTGTCTTGTGACTCAATTTTGGTTGCAGAACACAGGTCATTTTTATGGCGCACTCCTCAATCTGTGGGCGACACGTGTGATAAGGATCATGTCACCAAGTTGTGACGATCTACACCAAAGTAAACAAATGATCTACAGGATTCCCAGGAATAGCAGATCCACTCCTAGTACTTATACCCTACAAGAACTTCAAGAGCGTGATGAATTCATGAGGGACGATGCGCTCAGCTTTTCTTCCTATATAGACGGATAAATTCGGCGATGCACCGTCTTTCAGCGCTTTGTAATTGCCCTTTCGGAACACTCTAAGCCTAAAAAGAGTTTCTGTCACAATTTCAAGAACTACCGCGCTCACTATATTGAGCGTTGGCGAACTAATTTTGCCTCAAATCAGTGGTGCTTCAGTAAATGGCGCTTATGATTGATGGCGTTCCAATGCTCTACACGGTGGAAGTGCCACTCGGTAGTCCTGACTTAGCAGTTCATATTGACGAAAATTCACTTTTAGTAATTTCAGAATTTTATTTGCAGCTAACATTTAACCTGTTATTTGCCCCGGATCGTCGTTCAATTACTCTTACTCATTTCCATTCGGCCCTGACATAGGAAACCGCGACATACCGCTGTACTGATTCTTTGCCAGCTTTCGCACGGGAAATACCAATTACAGCCTGAATAAAGCCCCACCAGAGATAAATCAGGTGCTACGACCTACCGTTGTTTGTTCTCGCCTCAGCAGGAATACGTCCGCAACTTGTGACTCATAACCTGGACCTTCACGAGGTACAACAAATATGAGCTATCTCCCAGAACGTCGCTCTACGACTACTGAGTTCCGCATTCTCCAACGTGGGGTAGACGGACAGCTTTGAATGGGAGCCGACTATTCATCAGACAGAAGGGTTCAAACAGCTTTTAGATTTCCAAAACAAGGGTATCATCAGCGTATACCATGATAACGCTCAGCATTGAGAAATCCTTCCTTTTCGCAGAGAATGTTTGAGAATCATCGCCGTTAGCGCGCTCTTGAGGCTTCCGCATTATGTATTTTAACTGGCCCACGTAACATCGAAGAAATAATGCAACACCAACCCATTGAATAAAAGAGACAGAGTAAACGCAGAAAGTGCCAGTGCTAGCTGCATCTGTTCGAAAACCCCCATGAAATTAATAACTGTTACCGGTACCAGAAAAAAGTCTGTCACCTCGCGTCAGTAAGCTTTTGTGATGCATGGGTATATTCTGCTAGTTCTGACCTCCAATATTAGGCGAAAAAATGTTCAAATGCCCTGATAACGCCTAATTGGGCGGTGCAATACTTTACGTTACAAAATTACCCATTCTGGTAACGTCTTTTCTACCGATGTACTTACTACAAGCGCTTGACCTCCTAAGCTAAAGACAGCCAGCGTAAGGCGCTAATATTCAGGCTGAACAACTGCGAATTAATTTTTATACCATCTTCTTCTCCCAAAAATAAATTTCTTTCGTACCTGCCCTTGAAGTGTTGGTCACTTAACATGAGCGGTGTCACGATGGGGGGTCATTTAAACTCTCACCACAGCCGATTTGGAGTTTTCCTAGAGGTATCTCACCAGCAGATAAATAAATCTGGAGATCGTCAATTAATGAGCGCTAACCATCTTGGTCCTCGAGACGCCGGTTCTCTGTTCCTTCAGAAGCAACGATGTACATAACCTTACCAAGCGTGTCAAGTCTCAAAGACAGGTAGCAACTACTTCGTGTTCCATTTTTGCAACGACAACTGCTTCCAACTGCAACATGTTGCTGCATATTCAAAACGAGGAAGGTTTGACTAAAGCGTCCGAGCAAACAACATACAAAAGACGAATTCGTACGATTCGCTCACAAGCGGAAGTGAGAGCTTAGTTTGCAGTTCTACCTTATAAATTCAGCTCTACGTTCTGATTTAAGCATGAAATGAATATAGAGGCTGTTCTAATATTTGACTAACCATATTAACTGAACTGGTTTTAATAAATTCAAGTTTTGGATCGCATTGTTTTGAAGCGCATTCAATTTCCAGATCACAATATTTTTCTTACTTTGTTAGATGAATAAACTATTGGTATAGGATGACGTGAGGCTAACAATTTACACGTTCGACTGACCTCTCCTTCAAAGAAGAACCATCGAGCTCATCAGAACAAATATTTAGATTCTTGCACATGAAACTATGATTGTAACATCCAAAATAATCTTGTACATACCTTCTCTACACTCGTACGATATAAAAACGACGCTAACATCTTTTTCTGTGGCCTTACAGCGTCCGAAGATGTAACGGGGTTACACGTACCCTGGTAACAGAGGTGTGTGTCACACGAGATGGGCATGCTGTGACTGCACCCAAACAAGAATACGGTATGTGGCTAGGTTGCTAGTAGTTACGCATTTATTTAGATTTTACTATATATTTTTAGGAAAATCTATAGACTAAAATTAGGCGGCTTTTTGCCGCAGATAAAAATACAGTTTGGGATTTAAACGGAAGAGTAATTAGCCTTGGGTTGAGGCAATAATTACTCTTGGAGTAAGTGG